GCCCCTCTTCCTGTTTGTGGCGCTGCTTCCTTGGTCGTGTAGACCCGGGTTGCTTTGAGGGACCGTTAGCACCCGATAAGAGAGTCTTTAGATGAGTTTAGGGAGTGGATCAAAGCTTCACACTGATCTTCGATCTCTCTTTGGCACAAGAGTTCACGGGAGTTTCGTGGGAGGTGCCGTGAAACCAGTATCTTCCAAAGAACATTCCACGTCATGTGACTTGGAGGGATTGGGCGGTAGCCGGAGACTCTTGTGGAGAGCTGGATGCAGCTCGGCCAGGGCTCCCCGTGCAGCATGGACACCTCAGGGCCCCTGGTGTCCGGGACTCTGAGGGCCCCACTCAGCAGCAGGGGCATCCTCGTGATGAGGCAGGGACCCTCATGCCGGGGCCCGGGCCCTGATGAGGCCGCTGTGTTTCAGGGGAGGCGGCCGCCGTGGACTCGGAAGCCATCCTCCAGCACCTGTTCACCAGGGTCCCCTGCGAGCTCTTCCACAGCCCCATGCTGGCCTTCGAGTTTGTCCGCTTCTGCGGGGACAGCCTTCCCCTATTCGGCAGGAACCTTGACATTCTTAAGCGGAGCTTCCCCAATCTCTTCAAGGCACTCTCAGTTGTCCTCGGGCCGGAGAGGGGGGCCAGCGTTGGGGGGGTGGTGTGTGTGCAGTGTGTCCGGCCCGTTCTCCCTCCGGGGAGGCGGCCTAGGGTGCCGGCGGAGGGCCAGGGACGGCCCCGGGGGGTCCGTGCGTCATGTAGGAACAGCGTCTCCGCCAGGGAGAGCCCCATGCTGAGCCCCGTGAGAAAGAGCAGCTAGGCTGGGCTGTGGTTGATTCTAGAACTTGTCCCAATTATCATGTCGAGTAGGCTCCTCACGTGGGAGCCTCGCCTGCTGTGCTCAGCCCTTTGTGCTGTTGGCTTTTTATTTTTAAGATTTTATTTATTTATTTGAGAGAGACACAGCGAGAGAGGGAACACGAGCAGGGGGAGTGGGAGAGGGAGAAGCAGGCTTCCTGCTGAGCAGGGAGCCTGATGCGGGGCTCGATCCCAGGACCCCGGGACCATGACCTGAGCCGAAGGCAGACGCTTAACCGACTGAGCCACCCAGGTGCCCGTGCTGTTGGGTTTTGATGTGTTTTTCGTGACTGGCTGTGGTCACCGCGTGGTCTTTGCAAATTCAGCTAGAGGAACAATGACAAGTAGAAAGTGGTTGCTTTACTTGTTGGCACAGAAGTGAACACAGAAGCAGAGTAGCGACACAAAACCGATCAAGGTGGCCCAGGGAGAGCAGGGGGGGGGGGCCGATACCCCCGCCCATCCGGGACCGAGGGGCTCTCCCCTGCGGCAGCCCGTGGGCTCCAAGCCGATGGCTCTGCCGCTGGGCCACGCGCCCCACACGGGCCCTCCTGGTTCCCACCGAGCCGCCTCGCTTGTCCCTGCAGCTCCTGGCCTGGAACAGCCCGCCCCTCACCTCGGAGTTCGTGGCGCTCCTCCCGAGCCTGGTGGACGCCGGCTCGGCCGTGGAGATGCTCCACGCCCTGCTGGACCTGCCCTGTCTGACTGCGGCCTTGGACCTGCAGCTCAGGTGAACCCGAGGGACGACAGCTGTCCCTGGGTCTGCAGCTCAGGTGAACCCGAGGGACGACACCTGTCCCTGGGTCTGCAGCTCGGGTGAACCCGAGGGACGACACCTGTCCCTGGGTCTGCAGCTCGGGTGAACCCGAGGGACGACACCTGTCCCTGGGTCTGCAGCTCGGGTGAACCCGAGGGACGACAGCTGTCCCTGGGTCTGCAGCTCAGGTGAACCCGAGGGACGACAGCTGTCCCTGGGTCTGCAGCTCGGGTGAACCCGAGGGACGACACCTGTCCCTGGGTCTGCAGCTCGGGTGAACCCAAGGGACGACACCTGTCTCTGGGTCTGCTTCTCCGGTGAACCCGAGGGACGACAGCTGTTCCTGGGTCCCCTCCCTGTCCCCTGCTGTCCCGTGAGCTGCCCCAACGAGAGCACCTCTCTCCATCCCTGGGCCCTGGAGCCCCCGGCCTGTCTCACTCGGCAGGAAAGCCTCACCGTGCAGGGTGCCGGGCCCCAGGCCCCTCCCGGTCCCTCTGAGGCTCATCACTGGCACGGGGCGACATCTGCTCCGTGTCTCCACGAGGGCTGGGGCCAAGTCGGGCCTCCGGGGGCCTGTGCCCGGAGCCCAGTCTGAACCCGGCCTCGGGCATCTGCTGGCTCACAGGCTGTCACCGGCTGCGTCCGAGAGGCCGCTGTGGGATACCTCCCTCAGGAACCCTAGCTGCCTGGAGGCCTCCCGAGACCCAGAGTTCCAGGCTCTTCTCCAGCACCTGTTGCGGGCCGAGGCCAGCGGAACCGTGCAGAGGTAGGGGCCGCGCGGGCTGGGGAGCGCCTGGGGTGAGGCCTGCTGCTGGGCGTCCCCGGCCCCACGGCCCTGGGCGGGACAGGAGAGCACCTACGTGTGGTCAGAGCCTGTGCCCAGGGGGTGGGACGCGTCTGGGCACATCTGCTCCTGGGCCTTAAGCGCTCTGACCTAAAGAGGCCCCTGTGGTCGCCCCCCTGGCCCCGGCCCTGGGCAGGCACTAGCCACATGGCGGATGCTTGCGGGGCACGGGCCTCGCGCTCAGCTCTTTGCCAGCCCCGACTCGGGCCGCGCAAGCCTGCAAGACAGGCGCGGTGACTCCGTTGTACAGATGGAGAAGCTGAGGGGTAGCGCCCCCCAAGAGCGGGAGGGCCGGGACTGGAGCAAGGCGTCTTGAGCGCAGACCCCCACGCCCGCACTCGCTGTGGCCTGTGGGAGCAGCGCTGCCTGAGGGGCCGGCAGCTGACGACGGGAGCAAAGCCGTCGGCAGGGGGAGGCATGCGTGGTGACAGGGTGCCCCCCGCCCGGGAGGGCACCGCAGGTGGTTTCAGAACTTGGTCCAGGCCACAGCATGGTGATCCCGACAGCCAACCGTTGGCGTGTGGAGAGCGTGTCCGGGGGCCCCGGGGCAGCGGGAGGGCGGGTACTCAGTGGGACGTGTGACATGTTCTCCAGGTTGGCGCCACTCCACGAGCTGCTCCAGCCCATGACCGGCTGCGCCCGCGTGGTGCAGTGCGCCGAGGCCGTGCCCACCCTGCTCCAGGCGTTCTTCTCCGCGGTGACCCGGGTGAGCCCACTTCCAGGCTCCTCCGTTCCCGCGGGGGGCGCTGGCCCTGGGCCTTGGCAGAGCCGGTGTCCTTGAATGCAGATCCCGCCATGGGTCAGCGAGAGGCGCCGGGAGGGGTGGCAGGCGGCCCGTCCCTCCCCGAGAGCGGCCCCAGGCTGCCAGACATCGTCGGGGCCAGAGCAGAGCGCGGGGGAGGGTGGTGTCAGGGCTGAGTCTGTGTCTTTCCTCCTGACCCCCAGTTTGCTGACGGGGCCCTGACCAACCAGCTGGTGCTGGTGCTCCTGGAAAGAAGGGACTCCCTCTACCAGGTGCCCCAGTACGAGGACCGTGTGCACAGGTGGGCCCTCCCGCCACCCGGCCCCAGCCCGGTTTCACTGCCCTCCCCCCCCGCCCCCCCCAGCCTGCCCCGCCTCCGAGTCCCCACCCCCCGGGCTGCGCCCCCATTCAGCTGCCCTTTGCAGCGCGTGTCCTGCCGCCCGCATCACCCCAGGCCCAGCTTCTGCACACGCTCCTCTCCCCAGTCCCTCCTCCCTCAGGTCTGTAATCTCCGGTGCTGGCCTCCGTCCCTCTCCATGGAGCCTTCCAGACCATCTGTCCCCCTTTCCCAAGTCCTGGTCCACACAGGCCTGCGTCCACGCCACTCGCCAGCCCCAGCTTCCCCTCCAGTGGGCCCTTTAGAGGCAGGAACCATCTGCACCTCAGTCTGGTGCTCAGAGGCTTCCCCGTCCCACCTCCCGGCTCTGGTTTTGGATGAGGGCCGCGGTCTGGGCCCAGGGACGGCCGCGGCCCAGCAGTGTCCTACCCGGGCAGGGTGCTGAGCTCACAACTCTTGGCCCTGTGCGCGCTGCACCCGTCACTGGTGGTCGACCTGGCGAAAGAGCTGCTGGAGTTCGTGGGGAGCGTGAGCAGCGTCCGCAGCAGGGGGGCCATGCTCGCCGCCGTGGTAAGGCCGGCCACCGCACCACCGCCCCTTCCCACGCCGGGGTGCCTGCAGGGGGCTGAGGCTCTGTCCCCCCCCCCCCCCAGGCCTGGGCCGTGGGCGAGTACCTGTCCGTGTCCTGGGACCGGCGGTGCACCGTGGAGCAGATCACCAGGTTCTTCGAGGCCCTGGAGGCCCTGCTGTTCGAGGTCACCCAGTCCCGCCCGTCTGCCGCCCTTCCCAAGTGCCCCCCACAGGTCATCGCCGTGCTCATGACCACGCTGACCAAGCTGGCCTCCCGGAGCCAAGACCTGATTCCCAGGTACAGGGGTGGGGCGGAAGGGGAAGGGGAGCTGGCTCCGGACACCCTCCCGGTCCCCGAGGTCTGCACGCGGCCCGCAGCACGAGGGCTCCGGTCGGACACCAGTGGCGTGGGCGTCACCCCTGCGGCCTCACCTCTCCCGGCTAACGCCCCACGACCCGGAGGCCTCGGGTGTCTGGGCCCGTCCACGAGGCCTCAGGTTTCATGTGAGGAGTTGCATATGCAGCTGACTGACCGGGACCCGCTCATCCTCAGGGTCTCTCTGTTCCTGTCAAAGATGAGGACCCTGGCACAGAGCCCAGCGCTGAGCTCCGTGCACGGGGAGGAGGATGCGGGAGCCATCTGCACGCGGGCCACCGAGCTGCTGACCCTGCTAAAGATGCCCAGCGTGGCCCAGTTTGTGCTCACGCCGAGCGCGGAGGTGTCCGAGCCCCGCTATCACCGTGACGCCAACACGGCCCTGCCGCTGGCCCTACGCACAGTGAGCCGCCTGGTGGAAAAGGAGGCGGGCCTCCTGCCTGGGTGAAGGGACGGTGGCCGGGGCGGCGCCGGCCGGCCGCAGATGAAGAGCCTGGTGTTAGGGCCAAGCTGCGGCTGCCGTGACCAGAGGGCAAGTCAGAGGGTCGCAAGGCCCGGGGAGGAGGCCCGGGAGGGTCTGGGTCCCTCCGTGCTGAGGCAGGGCTGTCCCATCCTCGGCCTTCGGGTGTCTTGTCTGTCTGTCTGTCTCTGCTGTGCTGAGCTGTGTGGTGGCACAGATCTGATCTGGAGCGCTCGTGCTGTTGGGGGCTGGATGGGGGCTGCCTGGTCTGTTTCTGGTGCTCCTTGCTTGGGGGCGAGAAGAGGTACGGCAACAATAAACCTCTTTCAGAACGTCCCTGTGTGCACGAGGCAAGGGAGAGGGCCGGGTACGGGGCGCGCCGCTGGGCTGGGAGGCCTGGCCCTGGGCAGGGGGTGACCGGACACCTGGGGCCGTTTCTTCCCACCGAGTCCCCACAGCGTCTCCGATGTTACAGAAATAACAGCACGAACGTGGGCGATCAGAGAGAGAGCCGCGTGACCCTCCCACGGGTGCGGCTGCCACTGGGAAGGGCCTTTTCTCGGTGTCCTTTCTTAGCCCGCTTTCTGATGCTGCTGAATGAGCCCGCGGGGGGGGGGGGGGGGGTGGGGGGGCCTCTTCGGGCCTGCAGCCTCCTGCCCGCTGGAGGTAGAGAGGGCAGGGCCAACCCGGCGGGGACCCCGACACCTGCCGTGGGAGCCTCAGAGCAAGTCCGGGGTCGCTCTGGCTTTATGCCGAGTGGGGGAGACACGCTGGGTGTGGTGGCGCAAGAAACCTGTCGCCGGCCCCCCACCCCCCCCGCCGCGAGCGCCTCCTGCCCCTGTTCCCCTCCCGCCTTGGACACCAGCTCCCAAGGCTGCACCTCAGTTCCGCCGCGCGCGCAGATGCGTCCGGGCCGCCAGGTGGCGCTGCTGCTCCGCGAGCCTCTGCCCGGGCCCAGGATCCGTGACGCCGGGCCGCTCGCCGGAAGGAGCTGCGGCCGTGGAAGACGGGGGTGCTCGCCGCGCGCGGACCGGCCCTTGGCGCCGGCCCTCAGATGACGCGCCCGTGGAGCGGAGCGGTGGGTGTCGGGGCGGGTCGCACCAGGGGCCACCCTGGTCCTCCCAAGGCGGGGCAGACAGACCCAGCCCTGCGGCCCCCCGACCCCGCCCCCCCCCGGCCGCCCCCCCCCCCCCCCCCCCCCGTGGCCCCGGGCCCGAGTTGAGGAAGGTCAGGGTTGAAGGATGTACGTTCACCTAGAGAAAAGTGTTACTTTTGCGAGATGCCTGGGGGGGCCTGTTTTCAGTGAGTGTTCAGCTTGGGGTGTTTTCAGATCGTCCACGTACTGTAGGTTTGGGTCCCAAACCTGCATAAGAGCTAGGTGGTGAGTACGGATTTTGAGGAGACACATTTTCCCTGCTTCCCAGGGAGCCAAGGTCACTCCAGAGACGGTCCCTTCATGTTTGCTTCGCAGGCTGAACCGTTGTGGTGCCTGTAGACGGAAACTGCGCGAGTTCAAACGCTGGGGGGGGCTCCCGAGGGGCAGACTGAGTTCTGGGTCTCAAGTTTTCACCCCCTGGGTCTGCAGCCCACACTCTGGCTGTGGGCTGGTGGTGGGGGCGGCGTGCTTACCACCCACTGCTGGGGGCTTGCTGTCCCATGTGCTTTGGCCGACAGGCTGTGGGCAGAAGAGACAGGAGCTTGAAATGTGCTGGGGAGCTGGGCTCGGCCTCTTGCACGTTTGCCGTTCACTGTGGCGAAGAGAACATCCCTGGCCGGTGTGTCGGCCTAAGAGGTCGGGAGGACCCCTCCTGGAGCTCGGAACCACCTCCAGCTGTGCTGAGGGTAAGTGAGCTTGGTTTCGGCCGTCCTGTTTTTTTCAGAGCGTCATGGCAACGGCTGATGTAGAAAATTAGTCTCCCTGCACGTGTTTCCTCGTCTGGAAAGTGGTGGGGGCAGGGGCTGCGAGCAGTAAAGGAGCCTGCCGTGAACTCTCTGCGTATGTCCCCTCTCCCACGGCTCCAGCCCCTTGGGAACTTAGTTACGTGGGGTCCCCCACTCGGCCCCACAGCTTTGTCTTCTTCGCCGCACAGAGTGGCGAACAACGCTGCTCTTGGTCTCCTTGAACTTGCGCCCTTGCTTCAGTTTGAGGCTCTAAGCATTTTCCTTTTGGGTCCAATCATCGTGTTTAAAATGAATTTTTTTTAAAGATTTTATTTATTTATTTAACAGAGAGACACAGCAAGAGCAGGAACACAAGCAGGGGGAGTGGGAGAGGGAGAAGCAGGCTCCCCACGGAGCAGGGAGCCCGACGCGGGGCTGGATCCCAGGGCCCTGGGATCATGCCCTGAGCCGAAGACAGACGCTTAACGACTGAGCCACCCAGGCGCCCTAAAATGAATTTTTTAAAAAATGCGTGTTATCCAGCTTTCTGGAAACTTAGTTGCAGGTGGGGCTTCCGAGGAGCCGTGTAGGGCCTGGAGCAGGTGCAGGCGCGCCTCCCTCCTGCGCTCACCAGGGGGCAGCGTGCAGCTGCGCGGACCCCCGCGCTCGGGGCTGCCCGAGCACACCACTGGGGCGGGGGGCTCCCACCCTGAGACCCCTGGCAGCTGACTGGCCAGAACCCATCCTCCCCCAGGTCTCTGTTCCTGCCAGAGAGGAGGACCCTGGCCCCGAGCCCAGCCCCAAGCTCCGCGCCCCGGGAGGCGGCCCAGGAGCGAGCTGCGTGCGGCGGCCGCCGCTGCCCCTGCCGGAGACACCTGGCACGCGGGTGCCCGAACCCCACCGTCACCGCGACCCCCAGCACGGCCAGCCGCCTGGTGGAGAAGGAGGTGAGTCTCGTGCCGGGGTGAAGGGACGGTGACCTGGGGGATGCCGGCCAAGCCGCGGCTGTCATGAGCGGAGGGGCGAGTGGAGGGTGGGGGAGGCGGCCTGGGTGCCTCGAGTGGGTAAAGGCTCTCACTGCAAGGGCCTGGCTCAGAGGGTTCTAGACCTTTCTCTGAACTATGCTGAGCCTGTGAGGAGCTCCTTGCTTCGGGACAGGGTCGGGGGCAGAGAGCGGGCATCACTAGGATCCTGTGTCCTCCCGGGGAGCCCAGTCCCGCGCCCACCCTAGCTCCCCACACCGCCATCCCGTGAGATTACGAAATATAGTTTATTGAATCTACACGTTTCCATTAAAATCTTTAAACATAAGAGCTCCATAACAAACATCACAACTTAGTGTTATCTGTCATATAAATAAAATATACACTAAGATGTACATCATCCACAGCAAGGAACACGGGAACAGCTTGGCGGGAGGTGGCCAAGCCTCAGGGCGGCGGCGTGCGGAAGCGGAGCTTCTTGGCCGTTTCCCCGTCAGACTTGGCAACCAGAAAGCGCATCTTCTTTCCCCCGTGTCGGATCAGGTCCACGGCTCTGAAGCCGGGGGGGGGGGGGGGGGGGGGGGG